TTCGGGAAGGCAAAATTCCAGCCAGCTTAAAGCAAGCTGTGATAAAACCGCTGTTGAAAAAACCATCACTGGATCCCACTCAATTCGTCAACTATCGGCCTGTTTCCAATCTCCCCTTTTTGGGCAAAGTCATGGAACATGTGGTGGCCTCACAACTCCAGGCATTCTTGGTAGACACGGATTATCTGGATCCGGCACAGTCTGGCTTTAGGCCGGGGCATGGTACTGAGACAGCCTTGGTCGCCTTAGTGGATGATCTGCGTCGGGAGCTCGACAGGGGGAGTGTGTCCCTGTTGGTGCTGCTCGACCTCTCAGCGGCCTTCGATACCGTCGACCACGGTATCCTTCTGGGACGCCTCGCGGGGATGGGTCTTGGAGGTACTGTTCTGCAGTGGCTCCGCTCATTCCTCGAGGGTCGGTCTCAGAAGGTGTTACTGGGAGACTCCTGTTCAACCCCACAACCTTTGTCTTGTGGGGTTGCTCAGGGTTCAATACTGTCTCCCATGTTGTTTAACATCTACATGAAGCCGCTGGGCGAGATCATCCGGAGTTTCGGAGTGCGATGTCATCTGTACGCAGATGATGTCCAACTCTGTCCCTCCTTCCCACCCGCTACTAAGGAGGCTGTCGAGGTCCTGAACCGGTGCTTGGCCGCTGTGACGGTCTGGATGGGGGCGAACAAATTGAAATTGAATCCAGACAAGACAGAGGTACTCCTGGTTAGTCGCAAGGCCGAACAGGGTATAGGGTTACAGCCTGTGTTAGACGGGGTCGCACTCCCCCTGAAGACGCAGGTTCGCAGTTTGGGTGTGATCCTGGACTCATCGCTGAGCCTGGAACCCCAGGTTTTGGCGGTGACCAGGGGAGCATTCGCACAGTTAAAACTTGTGCGCCAACTGCGACCGTACCTTGGGAAGTCTGACTTGGCCACGGTAGTCCACGCTCTGGTTACATCCCGTCTTGACTACTGCAATGCTCTCTATGTGGGGTTGCCTTTGAAGACAGCCCGGAAGCTCCAATTAGTCCAACGGGCGGCAGCCATGATACTAACAGGAGCAGAGCGCAGGGAGCATACAACTCCTCTGCTGCACCAGCTCCACTGGCTGCCGATCTGCTACCGGGCTCAATTCAAAGTGCTGGCGTTGGCCTTTAAAGCCCTAAACGGTTCTGGCCCAACTTACCTATCCGAACGTATCTCGGCCTATCAGCCCACCAGGACCCTAAGATCTTCTGGGGAGGCCCTGCTCTCTATCCCGCCGGTTTCACAGGTGCGGCTGGCGGGAACGAGAGACAGGGCCTTTTCTGTGGTGGCCCCTCGGCTTTGGAACACCCTCCCCATAGAGGTAAGATCAGCCCCCTCGCTGATGGTGTTTCGAAAAAGATTGAAGACATGGATGTTTGAACAAGCATTCGGTTAACCCGGTGCAATGAATTTTGATGATTAAAGGACTGGTAATCATGGACGATGAATTTGGATTGCGATTCTAGTTACGAGATGCATTTGGATTGTTATTGGTGGCCCAATAATTTGTATTGTATATGTGTTTTTTATGCTTTTAAACTGAATATTGTTGATTTTTGTAGTGTTGTAAACCGCGTTGAGTCGCCGATTTAGGCTGAGAAATAGCGGTATACAAGCGCAGTAATAAATAAATAAATAAATCCTCTGCAAGATGTTCTTCATATGGCTGTAATCCCAAACAAAGCAACACAGACGTAACGTAAACATCCAAGGACAAAAAGGTGCTTGCATTGCTCTAGGACTAATGGCTGCAACTACATTTTGATGCTGAGATCTATTAGACATGGCATCTAATCTATATCAGTTTCAACCTGTGGCAAATCATAACAGCCCTACGATGGCATCTATATTTTAATCAATGAGCCTCATTAAAGGTGTGATGGCGGCTGAGCTAAAGCCATTTATTGGCATGTTTTATAAATGGAACACATTAGGGACAGAAGCTTGCAATTCTTCTCTATACTTTCCTAACATTTCTTTTTGTCCCTGGAAAAGCTTCTTACTGAATTTTCCGGGCTGTATGGCTATGTTCCAGAAGCATTCTTTCCTGGCATTTCACCCACATTTATGGCTGGCATCTTCAGAGGTTGTGAGGTCTGTTGGAAACTAGGCAAGCAGGGTTTATATAACTGTGGAATATCCAGGGCGGGAGAAAGAACTCTTGTCTGCTTAAGTGTGAATGTTGCAACTGATTAGCATTGAATAGCCTTGCAGCTTCAAGGTTTGGCTGCTTCCTGCCTGGGGGAATCCTTTGTTGGGAGGTGATTTTGATCGTGTTCATGGTTTCTTCCTTTCTTTTGAAATTGTCCACTTGCTTGTGGATTTCAATGTCTTCTCTGTGTGGTCTGACCTTGTGGTTGTTAGAGTGGTCCAGCATTTCTGTGTTCTCAAATAATATGCTGTGTCCAGGTTGGTTCATCAGGTGCTCTGCTATGGCTGACTTCTCTGGTTGAAGTAGTCTGCAGTGCCTTTCATGTTCCTTGATTCGTGTTTGGGCGCTGCGTTTGGTGGTCCCTATGTAGACTTGTCCACAGCTGCATGGTACATGGTAGACTCCTGCAGAGGTGAGAGGATCCCTCTTGTCCTTTGCTGAACGCAGCATTTGTTGGATTTTCTTGGTGGGGCTGTAGATAGTTTGTATGTTGTGTTTCCTCATCAGTTTCCCTATGCGGTCAGTGGTTCCCTTGATGTATAGTAAGAACACTTTTCTCTGGGTGGAAACATCAGGAGAGAATGCTTCTGGGACATGGTCAAACAGCATGGAAAACCCATCAACCCAAGGGTTATTGTTGCATGCCTTTAAGTCATTTCTGAATAATGACAACCCTAAGGCGAACAGAAATGCCTTATTTACACAAGATTAGAGACAAGAGAACAAAAGTTCAAACCCCCTCTGAACTCCTTGAATGTGAAGTGTAATACAAATGCAAAAACTCCCCTATCTTTTTGAAACAAAATTTGAACCACTAAAGAATAGGAGAGAATTAATGCTTTGTGAAAAGCTCTTTTATTTATACTGTGAGCAGATGGCCTTGGTTGAAGTAGTCACTTGTGGAAAATGTCACACTTCTGTATTTGCTTTCTGATAAACTCTGTTCAACTTGCATTTAAACTTATAGCAAAAGAGAAGAAAAAAAGAACAGAGATGAAGTGGTTATAGCAGCCCTCTTCCAAGGCTTTATATCTTCACAATATAATAATTACCCCAACATGCTTTTTAATTTGGGGGATCATTTTAGGAAATTAATGACCCATGTATGGTACGGCTGTACCAGGAACTCCAACTTCTTTTCCTTTCTATTGAGTGTTTGCATGTATTCCAAAGTTCCATGCATTTTGCAATAAGGTGGCTTCCCTTGGTTTGCAATAATAGGGCCAATGACCCATCAATTATCATTATGTTCTTTAGTTCCACCCCTTTTTCTGGGTTAAGGAGGGAAAAAGGGGACCTCTAGTTCAGTTCACACAGAGAAGCCTTTCATACAGGATGTGAATCAGTTCCACCTGTAGAAAGCTTCATCTTTTACAGCTTTGCTGGGGGGATCCAGTCCCACAGCTCTACAGATAACTACAGCATAGCCTTTGTTGGGGAATTTAGTTCCACAACTCTACAGCCAGCTCTTTGCTGGAGAAATACAGCTCCACGTTTTACAGCCAGCCTTCGCTGGGAATTGAAAGCCTTCTTTCCTCTTGGAAATCTACTAAAGGACTCTGTTTGGTAAGGACCACTCGCGGCAGCCATAAAGCAATTTGGACCGGGTGTAGGGGCCCACGCCAGCAGAGCTTAAGTTAGATTGCCCAGGGAGGGGTCAAGGATTTCCCTTGTAGAAGAAACAGTTTATGAAGAAAGTTGCCTGTCCCTTGTGGACAAGATTTAAGCAAGCCACCAGTTGATTCAAAGCCTTGAAGTATTTGTTTGATTTATTTAAGATTTAAGCAAAGATTTGTCTTTAAAAGAACTTTGTGTGGGGAAATCTGAAAGGCCTCTCAGCTGAGGCACCCCCGGCATCCTGTTGGGCATTCAGAAAACACGTCCTGTCTACAGACTCTTTCACAGGCCCAGCACGTGACAGCACACAACATTTGAGATTTCTTCAGTCTTTTCTGTTTAGAGCTTTGGAGAGAAGGTAATGGCTACATAAATATTTGAATTACCATTTCATACTGACCCTACCAAAGACCATTCCCATACATTCCCATTCCTTGATGATTTGTGTAATTCTTCTTAGCTCCTTCCTGCTGAATTGCATGAGTGCTTAGTACTTGGAAGCCCATCTGGAAGCTATTGCAAGCCAAATGTGTCTGATAGATCAGAGAAAGAAGAAACTGGGGGTACATCCACACTGTAAAGTTAATGCAGTTTGACACCACTTTTACTGCCATGGCTCAATGCTATGCAGTCCTGAGAGTTGTAATTTTACAAAGTCTTTCACCTTCACAGACAAAGAGTATTAGTGCCTCACCAAACTACACATCCCAGGATTCCATAGCGCTGAGTCATGGCAAATTAGCCACCAAACACCTCCCAACAAAGGATTCCCCCAATCAAGATGGCCAACTGCAACATTCACAGTTGCCTCAAGTAGACAAGAGTTCTTTCTCCCACCCTGAACATGACACAGATATATAAACCCCACTTAATTTCCAACAGACCTCACAACCTCTGAGGATGCCTGCCATAGGTGTGGGTGAATGTCAGGAAAGAATGCTTCTGGAACATAGCCATACAGCTTGGAAAATTCACAGTAACCCAGTAATTCTGGCAATGAAAGCCTTCAACAATAAAGTCTTAGAATACATTAATTCTACAGTGCAGATACACCCGGTGAGTCTGGGATTGTAGAGGACTAGTTCTAGTGGTTCTGACTGATTTAAGGCTACTGGAAGTTATGTGTCACATTTCTGAGCAATCAACTGAACACAGAAACATTAACACAGACCCATACTGCTTTATCATTTTCACATTACATGGCCTTACCTTTAAATCCCACTGTTTTGGCATTCCTTAAGAGCTCCATACACCTTATTTCTTCTTTTTCAAGTTCCAAATAAAATCTGCATTCTGGGTGAATGCTATTCACCTGTGAAAGTAATAGAAGAACCTGTCTTAAAAGATATTGATTTTGCACACAGGTGACCCCTAGCATTTTAAAACTGTAAGAATTTGTAAGAAATATAAAACTGTAAGAATTTGTAAGATTTGTAAGAAATACCATGATGGAATGGGTTGACTGGAAAGACATGTGCCGGCAGCTGATTGGCTGAGCATGCCAGGAACCAGGATTCTGATTAGCTGCTGTCTTTGGCTTGCTGCTGAGAGAAACGGTTTTAACTGCCACTTTCACCTTGGACAGTGAAGAGAGTGCTGACTGGAAACAGCTAGGGAGGAAATGGCTGCTAACTCTCTGAAGCCTGATCATTTCTAAGACATGAAGCATATTTAAAGGACTGTTTATTCCCTCCATTCTCTGTAAGAATTCAAAGAGACCGATGTATATATTGTTGCTCTGTTGGACTTTTTGAACTGAAGTAAAGTTACTGTTACTTGTTACACAAATCTGAGTGACACATTATTATACTGCAGAGTATATCTTGGTTCAGAAACTATGGTAAAGCTTCAGTTTATTTTACATTCACAATCCCCAACACTGTGTGGGAAGTTTGGCCCAATTCTATCGTTGGTGGGGTTCAGAATGCTCTTCGATTGTAGATGAACTCAAAATCCCAGCGACTACAACTCCCAAATGTCAAGGTCTATTTTCCCCCAAACTCCACAAGTGTCCACATTTAGGCATATTGAGTATCTGTGCCAAGTTTGGTCCAGATCTATCATTGTTTGAATTCACAGTGTTCTCTGGATGTAGGTAAACTACAATTCCAAAACTCAAGGTCAATGCCCACCAAACCCTTCCAGTATTTTCTGTTGGTCATGGGAGTTCTGTGTGCCAAGTTTGGTTCAATTCCATTGTTGGTGGAGTTCAGAATGCTCTTTGATTGTAGGTGAACTATAAATCCCAGCAACTACAACTCCCAAATGACAAAATCAACCCTCCTCCCAACCCCACCAGTATTCAAATTTGGGTGTATTGGCCCAGTGAATGAGATTGGCCCAGTGAATGAAAATACATCCTACATATCAGATATTTACATTATGATTCATAACAGTAGCAAAATGGCAGTTCTGAAGTAGCAACGAAAATAATTTAATGAATGGGGATCATCACAACATGAGGAACTATATTAAGAGGTCGCAGCATTAGGAAGGTTGAGAAACATTGATCTAGCCTAATTCTGGGACTTCTCTTTTATTCCCCCGCTGTTTTGGGTGCATCATCTAGTCTGAAGATTGCTACAGAATTCAAAGTCTTGCACAGAGCATTTTGGTTGGTCTTAATAAAAATATTGTTTGACTTTGGATTTCTCCCCCCACTCTTAGCACAGCTAGATCTGGTTGTTGTTTTTCTCCTCCCAAAAGTTACAAGAGGTCTATCACATAAGTGGCAGATGTTGTTTTGACTGCTTTGGCTTTGAAAACAACTATTAGTCTTAGAACAGATCATTTTGATTTTAGATGAGATATCAAGACATACTCAAAATACTTTGAAGTCTAGAGGAAAACTTGCTTAAACTGGTGGCGAGTGACAGCAGATGGTTATTAAAGAGCTGATTTCCATTTGAATGGGGATTATTCTGATAGAACAAGTTGAGGAAGTTGGTCTCCAGTCATGAGATGCCAGGTTGCCCAATGAAATACACATAATGTTTCTTTGATATATATGACGTCAGCTGTTATTCTGACCTTGGTAGTTAGACATGTTATGAGTGTATTGATTTTCTAGTGGAAAATATTTGTCATTTGGAGAGGCATATCTACTTTAAAATTATATTCACATGCTTTCATGTTCTCTGATAGTCAACTGTGGTTGGATCCTGGTACCTTCGCTGCAGTTTTTAAAGAAGAGTTAAGCTCCTAAGTTGGAAAGGTTCATGACCTATCTTTCAGAGTCAGAAGATGCATTAATCTGTTCCATTATCTAGGCGGAGGCCACAAGGGGGTGCTAGAGAGAGAAGGATAGTCCATTTTACAGGGGAGGCGTTGGAGGAGGAAAACCATTTCCCCCTATTTTTGCCAGTTATTCCCCCTCCCCACTTCCCATGTCATAAACTAGGTTTGTTTCCATGACAAGGACATGAGTGGGGGGAATAACATGAAAACACTGGGAAATTGTTCTATTCCTTCAACCCATCCTCCACCCCTGTACAATGGACTATCCTTCTCTCTTTACTGCCCCCTTGTGGCCTCATAATGGAATATTATAATGGAATAATACTTATCAATGTATAGTGTATAGATATCAACAAAAAGATATGGGGTCACACAATCAATTTATATTATTATATATGTCTAAGATAAAGGTAAGGTTTTCCCCTGACATTAAGTCCAGCCGTGTCCAACTCTGGGGGTTGGTGCTCATCTCCATTTCTAAGCTGAAGAGCCTGTGTCCGTAGACACCTCCAAGGTCATGTGGCCAGCATGACTGCATGGAGTGCCATTACCTTCCTGCCAGAGCAGTACCTATTGATCTACTCACATTTGCATGTTTTCGAACTGCTAGGCTGGCAGAAGTTGGGGCTGACAGTGGAAGCTCACACCGCTCCCCAGATTCGAACCTGTGACCTTTCAGTCAACAAGTTCAGCAGCTCAGCAATTTAACCGACTGTGCCACCGGGGGTTTCTCCATGTCTGACCCACATGCATATTCTTTGCCTTCTATTTCTTTTTCCCCCTTCAGTGTTTGATTTGAAAAAATTCCATTTAAAATAGAGAGAATGGTTCCTCTAAAACCACAGTGGGAATTCGTAGTAAAGTTAAGAGGCAAATCAAAGGCTTTCTGGTTCACAGCTCCATCCTCTCAGGTACCATGCTACATTTATCACATTTTCAGCACACAGCAGTCTGAAAAGCTGGCCTTCAAATCCAACATTATTATTCAGCATGTCTGAAAGTTGAAACACTGGAATAATGTTCTCCTTTGCAATAGTCCTAGAATTGATTCACGCCATGAATATTTCAAAGGGAACAATGCAACTCCAGGTGACAATCACAAGACACCACAGACACACTCCAACTCCACATTGATTGGAGTGACCTGCAGCCTTTCCAGTAAATAGAATAGCCGCAAACCAAGTAAACATACATTTTTGTTATCAGGGGTTAAATCGCTCACCTTTGTGGTAGGAAAGAGAAATCAACTGCTCTGCATGAAGAATCTGAATGCCTGAATCCTAATATGATAACATATGATAACATGCCTTTACATTTGCAGGCTTTGTGGATTAATTATATGCAGATTTGATTGCCATGTTCTCTATAGGAATCTATAGGTATTCTGGTGCTGGAAGTTGACCATCAGGTCACACTGGAGGATCTAGAGCAGTGGTTCTCAACCTGTGGGTCCCCAGATGTTTTGGCCTTCAACTCCCAGAAATCCTAACAGGTGATAAATTGGCTGGGATTTCTGGGAGTTGTAGGCCAAAACACCTGGGGACCCACAGGTTGAGAACCACTAATCTAAAGCAAGCATAGGCAAACTTCAGCCCTCCAGGTATCTTGGAATTCAGCTCCCACAATTGTGGGAGTTGAAGTCCAAAACACCTGGAGGGCCAAAGTTTGCCCGTGTCTGATCTAGAGATTCCTAAAGAGAACACCTCGAGGAATCCCTAGATCCTTAAATGTGATTCTTGGTCAATGTCCACCAAAAATTGACCACAGAGTTGTGTTGGCAGACCTAGGGCCCTTCCACACAGCCCTATATCCCAGAATATCAAGGCAGGAAATCCCACATTATCCGAGTGTGGACTCAGACATCCCAGTTCAAAGCACATATTGTGGGATTTTCTGCCTTGATATTTGGGGATATAAAGCTGTGTAGAAGAAATTTTCTCTCCGTTTTTTTAAAAATAACAGGTTTTCAATTTGTGAGTTTTACACTTTCATAGGAGTCCTTTATTACTAACCACAGTAAATATGGAAGGCTGGCTTTAATGGAAAAAATATAGTGTCACATGAAGGCTATTCTATTCCTCCTTTTGTTAATTACCAGAATATCTCAGTTAACATATCCTCTGAAAAAGAAACTCCTTTTCACAGTCTTTAGTCTATCCAGTCTGAATTTTTCTCCTTCTCCTCTATTTAGCTGGAAATAATACTCAAAAAGTATCTCAACAACATTGCAATTTTATACCTATCAACTCAGATGTAAACATCATTGGTTTCAAAAGAACTTTTACTCTCTGAGGCTCTATCTACACTGCCCTATATCCCAGGATCTGATCCCAGATTATGTGCTTTACAGGGATACAGGGCAGTGTAAATCAAACCTCAGAGAAGTGGCTCTAAAGCTTCACCCATATCCCTGAAGTTCCTGAACATACACCTTCCTAGTCTGCAACCAGAGTTCCAGTTTAGATATGTTTTTTCCAGTCTGCAAGTCAGAGCTAGTATTCTATGCAAAACATTCAATGAGCAAAAGACTAGAACTAACTTGATTGACGAGATGCTTGGTATGATTATTGGTGGCCCAATAATTTGTATTGTTTATGTACTGCTGTTTTAAATTGTATATTGTTTTTAACTGCTGTAAACCGCAATGAGTCGCCGTCTTAGGCTGAGATATTAGCGGTATACAAGTGTATAAATAAATAAATAAATCTCAATTAAGGAGCCCCCAGTGGTGCAGTGGGCTAAACCGCTGAACTGCCGAACTTGTTGACTGAAAGGTTGCAAGTTCTAATCCAGGAAGCAGTGTGAGCTCCCGCTGTCAGCCCCAGCTTCTGCCAACCTAGCAGTTCGAAAACATGCAAATGTGAGTAGATCAAGAGGTACCGCTCCGGTGGGAAGGTAATGGTGCTCCATGCAGTAATCCTGGCTACATGACCTTGGGAGGTGTCTACGGACAACGTGGGCTCTTTGGCTTAGGAATGGAGATGAGCATCAGCCCCCCAGAGTCAGACATGATTGGACTTAATGTCAGGGGAAAACCTTTACATTAATCTCAATTAAAAACTTTTCCAGGCTCCA